GTGCAGCACACCAACATGGCACAAGTATACATATGTAACAAACCTGCACGTTATGCACATGGACCCTAGAACTTAAAGTATAATAATAATAAATAAATTTAAAAAAAAATGAACTGAAAAAAATAAAAAATAAATAAAAATAAAAATAAAAATAAAAATAGAAATAAAAAAAAAAGAAACTCAGAGAGACAGAAGGCAAGAGATGAACCTTCCAGGGACCTCACGATCAGAGATCTCAACCAGAGCTAACACATCATCCCAATGACCACGTGAACCTCTTCAGAGAGAGGTTGGGCTACGGGAGCTCAGAGGAAGAGAAGATCCTTCCAGTTGAAGACAGGGATCAGGGAGGGCTCTGTGCTCTTTTGGGGTGGGATGTGGTCTGGGTCTTGACACCATCCTCTGGTTTGGGAAAAGCCCCAAAGGCAGAACAGCATGAGAAAGCCTCAGGAGAAGGGGAGGTCTATGTCTGGAGAAGGAAGCCCTTGTCAGCTGGAGCGCCGGACATGAGAAGACAGTGATAAGCGCAGGGCTGGGAAGGACCCCAACTGTTGGGCAAAGACCTAACTCCTGGGGCAGAGCAGCTGCTAGACTGTGAGGGTCTGTCCTGTACCTGCCCTACTGGTCACTTTACACACCACATCCCACCCAGCGTCATAAGCACGTGGCAAGGCCTTAGGCCTGTGACACCCTGGCTGCTGACCTGCTGTAGGCGATGTTGGTTTCTTCCTGCCTTCTCTCCAGACCAAAGGGCACCAGCTGGGTGTGGTTGACCCACGTGAGCAGACAATTCTATACCATTTCTACTGCATTTCTGTTCCTTTGAAGTCAAAGAACTATCCCTGAACAGTCCAGGGCTGGGAAGGAGACTGCCCATTCATTTGCTTTGTGCCAAGAAATGCCCAAGTGCTGTGGGCTCTGCAAGGCCAGTGGCTCCACAACCTCCATCAGTCTGCATCTCTGACCCTGGGCATCAGTTTTCCAGGGTCCAGGAAGGAAGCAAAGATGACAGCTACTGTCAGGGAATGGCATGATAGTTCAGGAACACTCCCAGGTCCAAAAGTCTCTCCCATCTCCAGACTCCCTGGTGCTTTTGATTCCACCATTAGCACCTGTTTCCTTAGGGGCAGCATTGCCCTCTTCACCTATAATTTATATATATTTTTCCCTTTTTTTTTTTTTTTT